ATTCAGACACTTTAACTCTGTTTTACTTTATTTTCCTTTAAACTCAAATCAAACCCGACTGATCCAGGTCTGACCAAGAGTCCTGTCAGAGCTGATCTGAGGTCAGAGGCTGATCTGGGGTCAGAGGCTGATCTGGGGTCAGAGGCTGATCTGGGGTCAGAGGCTGATCTGGGGACAGAGGCTGATCTGGGGACAGAGGCTGATCTGGGGTCAGATCTCAGGAGCTCAGAGTCTGGACTCTGATGGAGACTCTGGGAACATCAGGAGCCACAGGAGGTGCCAGAGACAACGGTTGTTGTGTCCTTAAGCAAGACACTTCACCCACACTGGCCAGTGTGAACATGGAGTGTGAGTGTTGGTGGGAGGTGCTAAAGGTGCAGATTGGCAGCTTCACTTCTGTCAGTCTGTCCCAGGGCAGCTGTGGCGACAGGAGTTTAACCACAGAGTGTGAAGAGAAGAATAAAGTGTGAAAGTTTTTGTGACACACGTCTGAGAACAACACTATCAATAAAGTAGTAGTAGTAAAAGATATAGTAGTAGTAGTTGTAGTTGTAGTACTAGTAGCAGTAGTAGCAGCAGTAGTAGTATTTGTAGTTATAGTAGTAGTACTCGTCCTGTGGTACTGTGATGGGGGGGGGGGGGGTCGGGGGTCGGGGTCTTGGGAGTATTTTTAGTTTGGAGGTGAAAGGTCAAACCCAAAAGTGCCCTGGAGTCATGTGACCGAGTCTCAGCCAATCAGAGGACAGAACAGAACACAGAGTGAACGAGCCAATGGGAGCGCAGGACAGAGGCTGAGTCAGCACTGCCCACACACAGACTACTGCTCTCACTACTACTACTACACATACTGTACTACTACTACTACTACTGTACTACACCTACTACTACTACTACTACTACTGTACTACTACTACTACTACTACTACTGTACTACTACTACTACTACTACTACTACTACTACTACTACTACTACTACTACTACTACTACTACTACTACTACTACTACTGTACTACTACTACTACTACTACTACTACTACTGTACTACTACTACTACTACTACTACTGTACTACTACTACTACTACTGTACTACTACTACTACTACTACTGTACTACTACTACTACTACTACTACTACTACTACTACTACTACTACTACTACTACTACTACTACTACTACTACTACTACTACTACTACTACTGTACTACTACTACTACTACTACTACTACTACTACTACTACTACTACTACTACTGTACTACTACTACTACTGTACTACTACTACTACGTACTACACCTACTGTACTACTACTACTACTACTACTACTGTACTACTACTACTACTACTACTACTACTACTACTACTACTACTGTACTACTACTACTACTACTACTACTACTACTACTACTACTACTACTACTACTACTACTACTACTACTACTACTACTACTACTACTACTACTACTACTACTACTACTACTACTACTACTACTACTACTACTACTACTACTACTACTACTACTACTACTACTACTACTACTACTACTACTACTACTACTACTACTACTACTACTACTACTACTACTACTACTACTACTACTACTACTACTACTACTACTACTACTACTACTACTACTACTACTACTACTACTACTACTACTACTACTACTACTACTACTACTACTACTACTACTACTACTGTACTACACCTACTGTACTACTACTACTACACTTCTACTACTACTCTACTACTACTACTACTATTCCTGTATCACCACTTGATGACATCACAAGGTGGAACTGGTGTTAAATGTTTGGGTTTGTGTGTTAAACATGAACACAGCAGAGGATTGTGGGAGTTGTAGTCTGTATAAACGAGCAGAGGATTGTGGGAGTTTTAAAGTCTGGGCAGATTAAACTTTAACGACGTCTCATTAAGGTCATTTCATCCTTTTATGGGCAAAGGAAACAGAGGAAGGATGAGCCGAGATCTGATTGGACAAACCCATTTCCTGTGTGGCCAAAGCTGTGATCTGATTGGCCCAGAGACTTCAGATCTTTTTGATGTTTTAGAGAAACAGGAAGAAGCTCCACGGTCCACTGACGCTCAACCGAGTCCACATGAACCCACAGACCTGGTCCAGACCTGGTCCAGACCTGGTCCAGACCTGGTCCAGACCTGGTCCAGACCTGGTCCCAGTCCTGATCCCAGTCCTGATCCTGATTTAGTCCAGTTCTTGTCACCTGGTGGCAAATGTCTGTCCAGACAGATTCTGGTCCTGGTCCTGATCATGGTCCTGATCATGGTCCTGGTCTTGGTCCTGATCATGGTCATGGTCCTGATCATGGTCCAGTCTTGGTCCAGTACTTGTCACCTGGTGGTTAAAGTCTGTCCGCACATAGAGTCTGATCCTGGTTCAGTCCTGGTCCTGTTCGTGGTCCTGGTGTAATCCTGGTCCCGGTCCAGGTCTTGGTCCAGTCCTCATCAGTGCATGTTTCTG